AAAGTTATAGAAACTTAGTTTGATGTCTAACCTTGGGTTGATTTGATTTATCATTGCTTTTTCTTTAAATGTTAGGCATCTTATCTATCAGCCCTATTTTATTTGTCTTGGTTAAGGAGTTGAGTATCTCTGTGGGAGTTAAGGATAGGCTCATTATAAGCCACTAGGCTTCAACCTATTCCTTTTTTCAGTTGCTTGATTACTTTTATGTAAAATTGATTAATTGTTGTTGAATAAAAATATCTATCTATCTATCTATCTATCTATCTATCTATCTATCTATCTATCTATCTATCTATCTATCTATCTATATATCTATCTATCTATCTATCTATCATCTATCTATCTATCATCTATCTATCTATCATCTATCTATCTATCTATCTATCTATCTATCTATCTATCTATCTATCTATCTATCTATCTATCTATCTATCTATCTATCTATCTATCTATCTATCTATCTATCTATCATCTATCATCTATCTATCTATCTGTCTGTCTGTCTGTCTGTCTGTCTGTCTGTCTGTCTGTCTAATCCTGAATCATCATCTGATGTGTCCTCCTTTAATAATACCATGCTATTTCATTTGAAGTTTAACTTATTTAGGTTAAAGAAATCTCATTTTAAAACATTATTCCACTAAAGTCCAGCATAAATAAGGTCTGGACTCTGGACGAACATCAAGCCCCCCCCCCCCCCCCCCCCCCCACACACACACACACACACACACACAAACACACACACACACACCTCAACAACACCATGGTTGCATCACGTTTTCCATCTTTTATGCTCACCTTGTCCCACTGCTGTTGCAGTCTTTATGCATTTTAAATATTGGAGGGCTTTTTCATCCACACCAGAGACCATTCACAGGCCCCGCTCTCCAGCGATGAAATGAAGTTGAACTTGACCTCATACTTCACAGAGGAAAGGAGGGAGAGCAGGAGAGAGAGGGAAGCATAAATGTATGCTGCTGAGATTTCTGACTCTGAGCATCCAGCTCTTAACCTTTAATGTAGAAACGTTGGTGGAATTTGTTATTTGCATTTTAGAACCGTACGCTTATAAGGACGCATCAGCTACTGCAGAGAGTTTTTCTTTCTAACCTGGACCTTTCACTACATTCATGAAGGAAGAAATGCACCAATACCAGGACCACCTCCTACAACTGATCCAGTGGCTGGATGGGTGCTTCACCAGGGCAGAACCTGTTCAGGATTACCAAGAGGGGTTTGGAGGATACTCAGGGCTCAAGATGGGAAGCATCGAGTCATAAATAAAGAATGACACTGAAACATCCTCCCAGAGGAACTCCTCCAAGTACAGTTTAGTGATGAACATGATGGCGTATGGAGCTCCTTAGCCTGAGAGATAAAGTCATGTTGCTTATAGGTCCAGGAATCTCTCCAGACCTTAATCCCTCTTGGTCAATCCTCAACAGACAGATAGATGAACACAAATCCAACGACTTAAACCATAAGGATCGGTGATGAAGGAGGCTGGTATCAGTCAGCATCTGGACCAGGAGTTGGACTGACAGCTTGTTAGTGTGAACTTTAGACATCTTAAAAAAGAATGAGCAACACTGGAAACACTGAATCTGTGCTTATTAAAGCTTGTTGTTCCATGCTGGTAACCATAGAAACTTGACTAAATATGAGTAGTGATGAAAATCTGACTTCCTTGAAAAGGTGCAGCACATCGAAAAACCTGTCATGGTGAAAAAAATTGCAGCTTTGACTGCAAACTTTTTAAAGTGTCCCAAATCAGTCTTTTGCAACAGTAAACACAAAAACCACCACAACACGACAGGATTGGATGAACATCTTTAAACTATCTAAAAAGAAAATTAGAAATCTTCTGACACAAGTTTCCCTCCAAGACTTATCATTCTAATTTTACTGGAAACATCCATCGTGTTTTTATTTTGTGTTGGACTGAATATTCTCTCTAATGGGCCATTCCCATCTGTACCGGGTCGGCCCGGACCGGGTAGCCCCAGTCGGCCCCAGCCTGGCCCGGTTGATTCCACACGTCCTTGTCTTAAGCCCATGTGGGCTGATTCTACCCACCAATCAGAGGCTTGCTCTAATGGAAGGTGTGAATTTGCTGTCAGCAGTGGGTGTGTTGGCCCTGGTCGGCCTGAAGCAGACCCCCTTGAGAAGAGGGCTGAGAATGAGCCTTGGTTGGCCCGGAAAAATACCAGGCCACCCAGATATGTAAACAACCTACGCTACCCGGCCCGGGCCGATCCGGTACAGATGGGAATGGCCCATTAGATGGTCAATCTGGTTACTTTTGGGTCACGACCTGCTCCCGTTTGTCTTCTTTGAACTGTGTCCACAGCAGGCCTCAAACTAACTCTCTTGATTCTTTGAAGTTGGTTCTTTCATCTGGAGAAATTCCAGAAACCACAGAGCAGAATCAGCTTTACTCTGCTGCTCAGGTCCAGCTGTCTGGATTTTACACCGTTCCCTCTCAAAGGTGGTTTTTATGTTCTGCTGCGGCTCTACAGGTTCATCAAAGTCTAAGTTTATTAGTCTTTTTTACTTTGAGTTAAGCGACCCAAATGATTCAGTCGTTTTATGAAGGAACAGACAGACATAGTTTCAGTGGTGGGGACATTTAACCATTCAGGACTGAAAACATCAGCCTCACTCCTCCTTCGGCACAAAAAGCTTTAGACATAACTCAGTTGAAAATCTATTAATGTGCCCGTTTCTAACTTATTGTAAAAACATCCCATAATCTGGACTGAAACCAGAATTGGCACAATTATTTTTCATTTGATTCTTTATCTTTAAAGGTGCACAATACTAAGAAATTGTAAACCAAAGTAAAGATAGTCATTCCTTATCATCTGACTCACAAAATATAGAATATAAAATAATATAATGTAACATAAAACAATGCAATATATAATATAATATCATATAATATAATATAATTAAATTGAAATATAATTTAACTATAATTTATTATAATAAGCTATTACATCATGCCTTATAAATCAGGTAATGTTAAACGTGATTGCTGGTTAGACTTTGTACATAGCAATGTGATGTTGTTCATCTGTTATCATCTGCTCATCTTGGTCCTGGTCCAGGTCATGGGGGCAGCATCCCCACAGGGAGGTCCACACCATCCTCTTCCCAGTAACTACCACCAGCTCCACCTGTGGGATCCCAAGTTGTTCCCAGTCCAGGCTGGAGATGTAATTCCTCCACCGTGTCTTGGAGCTTAAGCCTATGGAATATATACATGCTTGATGGTTTGGTCTGAAAAATAATTTCATTAAAATATCAGAGTGATGGAGAAGAGGGAGTTAATGGTTAAAACCAGTAAGAGCTGAAATCATAACGGAGTTTTAATAAAGTCACAGAGTGAAGAAGGAACGTCATCACACATTGCAGAGCATGAAGGACTGTATTAACACACACACACACACACACACACACACACACACACACACACACACACACACACACACACACACACACACACACACACACACACACACACACACATTCACTAACTGGATAAATGGCCCTTCATACACACTTGCACCTCTATACATACCAGCTCCTCTCATATCATCAACACACACTGTCTTTATGTCTGCCTGACACACACACACTTTTGAAGCTGTGGGATCAGTAAATCTCCCTATTAGCATTGAGATGTCTTCATCACAGTGACCTTGAAGAGCTTACACACACACACACACACACACACACACACACACACACACACACACACACACACACACACACACACACACAACTATGCTGTTTCTCATTGGAGTCTTTTACCAGATTTTTCTGGCATCCGTCTGCAAATTTCTTAAATTAGAAAACTAGAGGCCACGCCCACTAATTGTTTCCTGCCAATCAAGGCTCATCCAGTTTATGGTAGTACTGGCATGCTCAGAATAAAACAGCTGGATTTACCACACTATACCATTTTATTTGTGAAGCGTTGCCAACACAGCCATGCAGCTGACCAAAGTGCTGCACAATTAAAACAGCCAGCTAAATTCTAACATTTGAGAGTACAGTTAAAAAGATCTAAATCCAGTCAGGCAATGAAACCATAAAATACACAAATGTAGGCAGTAAAATGGACAGGAGAAACACCTGTATGCCTAATACCAAAACCAGGTTTAAAAAGAAAATACTATAAACCAAACATGCAATTAAAATCACTTAAAATATAAAGAATTATGAAGTCATGTGTTTTCACATCAACTCGGTCTGCATCCTGCTGAGGCTAGAGCACACAAGTCATGTTGGATTTATCCACAGTTCATCTGCTGGGCCTCATCGGTGAGGAACTAAATGAACTAAAAAACTGAACTAGTCCAATTTAAATTGTATGAACAGGACTTTGAACTAGTTGGTTTTTAAAACTGACTTTCCCAAAACTGCCCAATCGTGGGTTTTGTAGAAGCTAATCTAAACTACATTTACTGGGGAGTTTCAAACTTGTCTTGAAATGTTTGCAAGGGTTCTTGCTTTCCTTGCGTGGGCAGAGTCTCACTGTTTCCCCTGGGATTATAAACGAGTTTGAAATGGGAATATTTCCTGAGTGGTCACTATCATTCTGGACATCAGGAATCTCAATCTGCAAACAAATCAAGTCACTTTCTGAGAAAACTGCCACAGGGGTTGGGATGAATTTTCTCCAAATGTTACATTTATTCAATTTCAGCACTAATTCATGCAAGCCCAGCTGAAAGTTTGTGTATTTTTCTCACAGTTTTGTTGATACAGATCTAAGCTCAGACACAGAAACCTCCACCTTTCTGTCCATGTATCCTCCAATCAGTCTGTTGGTTCTGTTTATGAAGAGGAGAGTTAACGGGTTTGGTATCAGGGCTCGGATCTCTGTCTCTCCTGTACGGTGTGTGGAAGTGGAAACGTGGGAAGTGGAAAGGTATCTGCTGTCATGAACACTAACACCTCTCTGTCCAATTCTCTGTTTACTTTAACAG